GCGCCAAACGAGTCCTGCGCTACCTAGCGGGGACGCCAACATGGGGATCAGCTTCGGTTCAGGGGAATTTACCTTGTCCGGGTACTGCGACGCAAGCTGGGCGACACGTCCCGACTGCCGCTCTACCACCGGCTTCATAAGGTCGATCTTGGGTGGCCCACTCATGTGGAAGAGCATCCATCAACTCATCACCGCACTCTCAAGCTGCGAAGCCGAACATATCGCCGCCGCCGAAGCTGCCCGCGAGTCGACATGGCTGCGCGGCCTCTTGAGTGACTTTGGCGTTGAAGACACCCGCCTGGGTCTACACTGCGACAACATGTCAGCCATCGCCACGTCCAAGTCAACTGCCGTCCAAGAACGTACCAAGCACATCGACGTCCACCACCACTACCTGCACGAACTCGTCCAACTTGACCGCCTCACGCTTGCCTTCGTCCCCACCACCGAGATGTGCTCCGACGCCCTGACGAAGCGCGCCACCAAGTATTCCAACGACACCTTCCGAAAGTGGACAATGATCGATTGTCGCACATCAAGTCAAGAAAAGAATCAGAAAACAGAACGGCCAACTGACAGTCCAACTGCCACGCCCTTTCACCGGAGTTAGGGGAGTGTTGAAGCTTCCCGCGCTCACGGAAGACAAGACATCCGGATCCGGAAACGAAGAACTAGGTGACGAAAGGTCATGGCCTAGATTGTGACTTGCATCATTGCATTGTTGATGTCTATCAGCGACGGCGTAGCGTCGCTGAAGGACGAGCTTCAAGCTCGTCATGCATACGCCAGTAGGAAGAACAACTGAACATAGGAAAGGAGCTTTACTACAACATCAATTCACTTCTCGATTTGCCTCGTTGGTCCAGAGTCGCTTGCTAATCGCTTGCTGCCGGCAACCCTCTGCTTGACTGTCGTCCTACACACAGCCACACGCATTAGTTCAAGAATGGGATGCAGCGGAGCCCCGCATTCGCCGCTCAATGCATGGCACTTCCGCTTCTTCGTATCTGTTGGTCGTGCCCTTGGATTTAACGTATATACAGTACTAGGAATTGCGTTAAACTTGTTGACTTCACATGGCTTCGGTAGTTTGGCCGGTGTATTTCCCATTAAAACACACGCATAATACACATACGATACCGTGTGTTTTCCAAATAAACATGGGAAATACACTTGATTCGCCGGGCCTTCAACGGCACTGGAAAAAGTTCGTCGACGAACATGGCGCTCAAGTTGATCAAGCAATCGCGATGCTTTGGTGGTGTGGTCAAGCAGTTCTCCCATGAGAGCACGACCACCCGCAGCACGATGCAGTTCTGTGTGTTTCTTCCCCCGAATGCGTCCGAGACTCAGAAAGTCCCGGTCGTATACTTTCTCGCGGGCCTCACATGCAACGACGAGTTGATGCAAATCAAAGCGGGAGCTCAACGTGTTGCCGCGGCACGAGGTATCGCGATTGTTACGCCGGACACGAGTCCCCGCGGAGTCGAGATCGAAGGGGCGGACGATGCTTGGGACTTTGGGTCTGGTACGTGTGTGGTCGCGTTGCAATGGCGTCAGGCTTCCTATTGACCGCCTGATTAGCTGCTGGTTTCTATGTCGATGCGACGGAACCAAAGTGGGCGGCGCACTACAACATGTACTCGTACGTGACGAAGGAACTCCCGTCCGTTGTAAATGCCAATTTGCCCATTCTGGGCGACAAAGCGTCGATCATGGGGCACTCGATGGGAGGTCACGGCGCATTGACTCTCGCTCTCCGCAACCCCGTACCTTCACCCTCGTCCAAAGATAAACCATCTCTGATCTACGTCCATGGTAGCAACTATACAAGGCCGTGTCAGCCTTCGCGCCGATTACGCACCCGACACAATGTCCATGGGGCATCAAGGCATTCACGGGGTATCTGGGCACGGACCAGTCGGCGTGGAAGGTGTGTCCTGTCGTGATTTTCTTGCAAAATTGTGTATTTTTACTCGATTTTTTCATCGTAAATGATGCAAATGTGGATTCTTTTTCGCTAGAACTACGACGCGACGCTGCTCTTGTTGGAGAAAGGAGCGGTCCCGGGACTCCACATCTGGGTGGACCAAGGCACGGACGACCAATGGCTCCATGAGAAGCAGCTCCTCCCCGAAGCGTTCGAGGTGACACGACCCATGCATGAGCACGCGATTGATTCCTGTGATGTGAGCAGGCGGCGTGCCAAAAGGTCGGCCAACCCTTGACGTTGCGCATGCTCGATGGCTACGACCACGGCTACTACTTCATCCAAACCTTTATCGAGGAACACTTGAACAACCATGCCGATGTGCTCTTCAAGTAGAGCTTGTAAAACGTCACCAAGAAAACCTTGGTTGGATGGTTGCCACCAATGACTCTGTGTGTTGTGGTGTTGATGGGAACAGATGTCCGATCTCTGTACGCAAGCTCCTCCTTGGAAAACCATCCTTTGCAACCATCACTGCCGCAGATTCGCCGACGTGACGAGGTCCAACCCCTATACTATCTGCGACTCGAATCGTTCGCACTTTTTGATGGCCTTGCCGGTCTCGACATCCAAACCACGTTGCAACGCACGTCGATAGACTGTTCTCAGCCTAGCGACGTGAGACAAGTCCCTTGACAGAGGGCAGCATGAAGGATGATACTCCTGCCTCTGCTCCGTGCGTGCAAAAACTATCATCCTGATGCGCCATGTAAACCTCCTTCCACCCATCGACGGCATCATCCTGGTCCGTGCTTGAATAGAGACATTGGGATGCTTGTTGGGTAGAAGTGGTTTGCAGCGGACAATTCTAGTCATGTCGAGGGAGCTTCCTTTCTCACACGCCGCAGACTTCGCGGCCCCGCTTCTTGGACCCTTTCTCACACGCCGCAGACATCGCGGCCCCGCTTCTTGGACCCTTGTCCATCGGTGTGACGTGTTCGGACTGGCCGTTGCGATGTGACAAGTCCTGTTCGGGGAAGCATCCGAATAAATTTACCGGATGCGACAGCCTGCTGCTGGTTTTGCCACGTTTGAATTCGATGCGGTGGACTGTCGTGGCGGCGATACTTGTGGCGATGGCTGCACCGGTGCATGCGCTTCCAGCATTGACCATGCCTCTTGCGAACAATGCGACGTTGGTCCCGCCTTCTGTGGACCCCCAATGCTACCTCATGCCCATTGTGGTCCTGCATCCTTCTGCACCCCTTCCCACCCTCGATTGCATCCAACCGCCATTGCCATCAGAAGATTGCATCAAGGCCTCGGTGTCGGCTACGTTGCGCGTGCTCCGCCACCCTACCGACGAGTGGACGTGCTTGCACGACACTGCCCCTGCAACCACCGTTGCCAACATTTCGTCGCTGCGGGTGCAATACCGTGGGGATTCGTCGCTTCGCTTTACCAAGCATCAGCACTTGCTCAAGTTTGATGCCCCAACGCCGCTCTTGTCGATGCCTGCCGACACGGATTGGTCGCTGCACGGACCATTTATCGACGGCAGCTTGATGCGCAACCACCTCGCACATTGGCTTTACCGCAACACGGGACGGTAAGAACCATTTCCCTGCTCCGACTTCACACGCGTGCTTGGTAGCTATTCGCCGCGCTCGCAGCATGTAGCGTTGTACATTGTCAACTCGAAAGGCGTTCCCGCCTACGCTGGCTATTATCTATTGCTGGAAACCATCGGATACGGCCCGAATCGAGTCGGGCTCGCGCCAAACTTGGCGGCGTCGGAGGATCATTCCGGCGGGTGGGCCTGGCAATTCAATCCACTCAAATACGGAACGTACTCCCCCAACGTTGTGTTTGACATGTATCAAGGTGTGAAGCCATGCGTGCGTCGGGTGAGCTGATGCACCGTGTAGGGAAGTTTGGAATGGGTGCGCGGCCGTTGCTCATGTATCCGTCTGGTTCGTCCCTGTCCCAGCGCATGCGCGACGACTTTGTGAATGTTTCCGTGGGATTTTTGCCTCTGTACTATCGGTAAGTCCACGATTCTTACGGAGAGCGAGTTGCCACGTTGCTTTGAGATGCTCTGGGATCCTCTTGCCCATCGGTTGCTGAGCTCTGTCATGGGATTCGTGTGCTTGTCTCACATGGCTCGCGTGCTTGACGTTCCTCTTGACCAGATACTTGTGGCACAACATGACGGCCCCGCTGACTCTGAAGCACCACATTGACGTCGGATCGCACGTCGACTACTTTTTGCACACAGAGTGGAGCTTGAACCAAGACGCGTACTCGAAGAGCGCGTACTTCTTCAAGGATCGTCAAAGTCCGGTGGAAGCGGGGCCGGTGTGGGACCTCAACTTGGCGTACGGGCTCGGTTCGCATGCGCACGCGAACGTGTGGCTGTATTTGGCCCAGCCCGCATGGATGCGACTCGTTTGCAACTTTGAATTTGCCAACTTGGCAATTGCGCGGGTGACGATGGATGGCACATGCCGTGGCTGATGCTGGATGGTAGTGGAAAGCTCTGCGAACAAGTGTATGGAGCGACGCATCGGTTGTGACGTTTGTGCAAGCAACAGCGGCCCCGTTGCAGAGAAATTTGGAAAAGTGCAAGGACTGGACAAGCAACAAGCCGAGCTGCGCGAGCGTGAGCGGCAGCAACCAAGGCACGTTTGCGGACCAAGTCTCGCATCTGCAAGCAATCTTAGTCGAACGTGCACATTGGATGGACGACCACATTGAAGGGCTGTTCCAGAAGCTTGACGGAAGTGTCTGCGGAAGCGTCGGTAGGGAATTCCTGGATGGACGCAAAGGCGTTTACGACGAAAGCAGGAGACCTGCCGGCGTTTAACTGTGCTGAAGATGGGGACGATGGAGGATGCTTGACTGCCCCTGCCAAGTATTACTCGAAGGTGTTGTTTCCGCCAATTCGACCCCCCCGACGCCTGGAGACGCCACGTGAATCGGTGGTACTAAAACAGTCGTCGTCTGCATACGACATGCCTTCGATTGATCCGTGCTGGTTGTCGATGGGCACGTCATTGACGGCAGGGTGCGGTCGATTGCTGTGGTCGCGCCCGTGATGACGGAGGAATGTGTTGTAGGTACATCACCCTCACGTGCTCTGGCCATGGGTATTGCCCCATGGGACCCAATGCCACGTGTGTGTGCAATAACCACGCGACCAGTTTCGACTGCAAGGGAGGGAACGAGCGACCTGTTGTGGTGTCGACGCGGACGTGGGCGATCACGAGATGGGACGCAGCCCTCCTTTCGGTGTGTGGCGTCTTGGCGTTGGTGGCGGGGCTGTCGGTGTGGCGACACCATCGCCGATCGCGCCAAGGAGAGCCATTGCTGCGACGCGGCGGGGGTCCCCATTATGGCGCGTCCAAACCTGCTGTGGTGGCAGAAGCAGTAGTGCTTTGACGAGATTTTGACTGAAAGTAGCAGGAATTTTTCAAGGTAATTGACATGCCAGGCTGGAACATTCATATTTGGCAAGGCCCACGTGTGGAAAGTTTGTTTTACAGCCCGCATCATGCGATTTCTTGGTCACGACAGGATGGTTGTGCTCGTGTATGTGACCATGCAGAGGAACACCGACGCGACTAAGAAGAGGGTCGTCGTGGATGTGCTGCAGACGTCGGCTATCGCAATCGAGTCCCATCACCGCAGCCATCAAAATGGAGTCACTCACAGCCACCCAGGATGCTAACCCAAGGCGGCGTCGCGACACCCACCAATACAACCAGGCTACAAGTACATTTTGGCGCCTCAGACCTCTAGGAAGCGACCATGGGAAGAAGAGGACGTCAGAGTGATATTTGACACGCTCTTCGGCATGGCCATGTTGGTCCTCAGCATGAGCGCTTTTGTTCGCTGTTCTCCCTTCCGGTGGGTCTAACGACTCGGCTGTACTGTCAGATACCATGTGGATCCGAGCGACTTTGTGGCCTGACAACAGCGGGGTTATGCATAGTTGCCCTTGTGGGAATGGGCGATCATCGTCACGCCCAAGCGATCAAGCAAGCCATCACGGAATGGCTGTAATGCCGAATCGCGATTCCACCGGAACATTCGCTCGTTATGTGGAGGGCGTCGACTCTCCTGCTGCCACCACTCCTGTCCGTGCGGCGGCTGTTGGAAGGTCCTTTGGTAGCTCCCAGACAGCGCCACAAGCGCATGCCAATTGAAAGCCAAAGCTTTGCGCATGAGATGGGTTGGTGGCTCCATTGCCGCCCAAGTGACAACCTTGCTGCTGACAGGTTGATGACTTCAACACGACAATGACGAGAACGAACTGAGCATCAGTTTGATTGGTTGAAATGATCCAACCAAAACTGTCGAAAGGATGGGTCAAAACCGCATGCGTTTTATGCTGTAGCCTAGTGTAAACATTTCACCGTCTTTGTGTACATACCTCATAACCAACGAAGCGGTCAAAGGAGAGGTGCACGTCAAGGAAAGAATTTACGGGGCTCTCCTTCGGTGTTATTCAGAGTCTGAATTGGCCAAGGCCGACGTGTACAAAAGCTGATGAGCAAGGTGCATTTCATGTATTGATATTTCTATAATTTTATCTCTGATTCTCTTTGATGAATTGGTTTATAGAGGTTTTGAGTAATATTTTCTGGTTCAGAGCATTGGTGAAAACTCTATAAATAGGTAAAATTGTACGAGGAGCATGAGAGGAGCGTGGCACTGTACACAATCCAAGAGCAGACAGAGGTGGTACAACACAGAACTGGAATTCAGATCAAATCAGAACTCAATTCGACGAGCGATCGCAAAATCTACTATGTAGTCCTAAGTTTTCGCACCAGTATATTATGGCTGGGCAGTCGAGGGTGCCATCTGCGCGCTGAAAAGAACATGCTCCGTGTCGTGTGATGCCATTGCGTTTTATGAGGAAAACGCTTCGCAGGCTACCGTAGTTTCAAAACGGGCACGTACGTGCAAAAGGTATTTTAAAAATTTTTGATGTTGCTACATTCATTCATCTAGTCAAGTTGAAATTATTTCTTCAACCCCGTCGTGGCAATCATGGAACAATCTTCTCATCCGGAAAATATCCGGACATCCGCCGTCGTCGTGTTTATTCCGACCTTGTATTAATACAATATACATTTGAAATAATGTACGTACGAAAAACTGTAATCGCGTGCATTCATTGTCGATAGCATGCCAACAATTTTCATGAATGTTGCCATGGAAATGTACATTGTACGTACAGTACATTGCTTCAAATCGCCCACTGTTCACAGGTACATCTGGAACAACCTCGCCCGGCCGTCCATGACACATCCTTCCTCACTCCCGCATTTCCTCGCGTCCTCAGATCATGACAACAGCTATAGCGACGGAAGCGTCGGCCCCTGCCGCGATCCATTCATCGCGAACCAAACTTGCACAAGCCGCCGCATCTTCGGCTGTCCCTCTGAATCACACGTTCCCCAACAGCTACAAAGACGACTTGGCTGTTCACACGTTGCAAGTATCCCCAGAAGTCGGACATGCACGTTATCTCGACGCATCCCTTCCCTACGTCCCTGTGTTTGAAGAACAGTATGGTCCTGAAGTGTCGTCCTCACTCCAGACCAAGTACTACACACTGACGGAATCCGGTCAAGCGGGCATTGAAGCGGCGACGGATTCTCTGCATGCTCTGTTCGTGCAAGCCACTGAACACGTGCTGCTACATCAAGAAGCGCTCGCGCCTTATTTTCACATCCCTGCTGCTCTGTGGCCACGAATCCAACACTCATGGGCCCACCAGTACTGTTCTCGTTTTTCATTCGACCTACGTTTTTACGCGATGGAATTGTAGCAAAAACGACACGATCTCCGGGCGATTAGACTTTGCCTTGACAGACCAAGGCACAAAAGTGTACGAGTACAACGCGGACTCTGCATCATGCCTGATGGAGTGCGGATACACCCAAGACGCGTGGTCAAAAGCTGCCGGACTCGGCTCGATTGGTCGAAGCAACAGTGCTACGTTGTTTTCACAACTGACGGCGGCGTGGAAAGGCAAGAACGTCCAAGGCACACTTCATCTGCTATGTGACGATGACCCGGAAGAGCGATATCATTCGTTGTATATGAAGGCCGCAGCCGAAGCCGCAGGCATTCCTTGCACTCTAGTCGTTGGTGTGCAAGAGCTGCATTACGACGAAGACGGAGTCACGATTTTGGACGGACAGAATCACCCCGTGCGCAACGTATGGAAGACATGGGCTTGGCAAACAGTGATCAGTCAGTACGAAGCCGGGAATGGTGCCGCTTCCTCCGGCCATGTCCAGGTCATGGACGTGATGCTCCATCCGTCCGTGCGCGTGTTTGAGCCCCTGTGGACAGTGCTTCCTTCGTCCAAAGCGATTTTGCCCATCTTGTCCCAACTGGCCCCCGACAACCCGTACTTGCTGCGATCGACCTTTGACGCGGCAGACATTGCGACTTTCAAGGGTGGATACGTTGCCAAACCAGTCATGGGTCGCACCGGGGCCAACGTGAG